TCTAAAATCCTCTTTCCTGATTCTCGTTAAAAATCTTAAAAATCATCTTTCAACTCTTGCATATTCAATCATTGTATTTTACACGCAATATTTCATCACCTAGATGCTATGTTACAAATAACAGGAGCTCAAAATGTGTAGATGAGAATGTGTAAGGGTTAGAATCTGCTGTAAGGCCCAGAGATTTACTGAGCATCATAGCTTCACAGACCTTGTGTCCTGTTCTCAGGATGAAGGCTGCTCCCTATAGGCTAAATAAATTGCAACAGATTAAAATTTTTTAATGTTAAAAATTAAAATATAAAAGTACTAGAAAAAAGTATATGTGAATGTAATATTGGAATGCTGATGAACTTTCTAAACATTACACTGAAAGAGTAATATATCTGAATTTAAAATTTTTATTTAGTCTTATTGATTGATTGATTGATTGAGACAGGGTTTCGCTTTTTTGCCCAGGCTAGGCTGCATTGGGGCAACCTTGGCTCACTGCAGCCTCCACCTCTGGGGCTCAAGCCATCCTCCTGCCTCAGCCCCCCAAGTAGCTCGGACTACAGGCACATGCCACTACGTATGGCTAATTTTTTAAAAACTGCTTTGTAGGGATGGGGTCTCACTATATTGCCCAAGCTGATCTCAAACTCCTAGGCTCAAGCAATCTTCCCAAAGCACTAGGATTACATGTGTGAGCCACCACATCCAGCCTGAAATCAAAAATTTTAAATGTTTATATATAAAAATCACAAAAATTTGAAAATATAACAAATGGAAAGAAAATACTTGCAACATTATACAACTGACCCTTGAACAACACACGTTTGAACTGCACAGTTCTACTTATACACAAATTTTTGTTTAATGAAAGTTACAGGTGTGCCTTCCTCTCCGGCCTCCTCTGCCTCCCTAGCCTCCATGTCTACCTCTTCTGCCTCTGCAATCTCTGAGACAGTAAGACCAACCCCTCTTCCTCTTTCTCCTCAGGCTACTCAAAGGGAAGAGGATAAGGATGGAGACCTTTATGATGATCCGCTTCTACTTAATAGTTAATACATTTTTTCTTCCATATATATATATATATATATATATATATTTTTTTTTTTTTTTTTTTTTTTTTAAGACAGAGTCTTGCTCTGTCGCCCAGGCTGGAGTGCAGTGGCACGATCTCGGCTCACTGCAACCTCCATCTCCCAGGTTCAAGTGATTCTCCTGCCTCAGCCTACCGAGTAGCTGGTATTTACAGGCACCCGCTACCGCGCCCAGCTAATTTTTGTATTTTTAATAGAGACAGGGTTTCTACCATGTTGGCCAGGCTAGTCTTGAACTCTTGACCTCAAGTAATCCGCCCACTTCGGCCTCCCAAAGTGCTGGGATTACAGGCCTGAGCCACCGCGCCCAGTCCCTTATGATTTTCTTAACATTTCCTTTCCTCTAACTTTAAGATAACAATAAATTATACATATAACATAAAAAATCTGTGGTAACTGACTATTCACGTTATCAGTAAGGTTTCTAGTCAACAGGAGGCTATTAGTAATTAAGTTTTTGAGAAGTCAAAAGTTATACGCGGATTTCTGACTGCTGGCAAGGCGGGGTTCAGTGCCCCTAAACCCTGTGTTGTTTAAGTGTCAATTGTACTACAGAGAAACAGTAGCTATGATAAACACTTAAAATTTCTTTTTAAAAATTCAGTAGGAAAACACACCTGCCCCCATAGATAAAACATAACAGGAATCCAATGGACAATTGCTGAGAAAAACACAAATGTTCAAGGAAAAAAAAGCTAATCTTCCTAGTAATCAACAACAACAACAACAACAACAACAAAAAACCAGAAACTCAAAGCGGAAAGCAGTTTCCCCTGTGACCTGAAGAAGATGAAAAACTGATGACTCCTGATTTTCTCAGTGAAAAAGGCACTCCAATGCCCTGTTGGCAGGAGTAGAAACGGTGTTTTATTTTATTTTTTTAATCCTTTCTGAGGAGCAATTTGGTAACATATTTTTAAAAGACAAACTTACGAACAATAAAAGTTTCAAGAGTTTATTTCCACATTCACTGATTCATGAATGGAGCCATACCAAACTGAACCAAAATTCATGAATGGGGCCATACCAAACCCCAAATAAGTGGGGTTCGGTACTCCACTAAGGGGGATCAAGCCTTAAACTTTTATAAGATCTTGACTCCTGACCTAGACTGGTGCCTTAACACTTGATCTCTGACTCCTACCTTGTCCTTATCACACAAATCTAATCCCTGATTCCAATGTCTGGAATAATATGCTCACTAGGAGAGGATCTAAGTGAGGAGCGGTGGGTAAATACAATGGGTACAGAATATATTAAACAGATCTACAAAGTAATCTCAAATATAATATATTAATAACCATCATCATCTCTTTTACAAATTCACTCCTCACATTTGTCAGGATATCTTCATAAAATATAAACATGAAGAGGAATCTTAATAAGAAATTCTACAGAAAACAAATACATAATCAAACAGGCAATTTCTGTTGAAAAAATAGAGAATACCATAAAAGCACAAAATTTTGTTTTTAAAATTAGCTTGCTCACCTCTCATTTATTCCAGTAAAATAAATGGAACTACTTGCTAATGTTATTTACTTAAGGATGACTATTACTAAGAAAAATCAAACTACATACAGTATTTGGCAAATAGTTATTCAGCCACTGTTATAAATCAGGCATTGAACAAGAGGATTTAGAAGATAGGTGTAATCCAACTTGTTTTCAAATCCTTTGACAGTTATCCAAATTGAGATGTTTACCTATGTCCTTTATATTAGACTATGATCTAGAACAGTAAGGTCCAGAAGAAATGTAATATAAGCCACATATACATTGAAATTCTCTAGTAATCTCATTTTTTAAAAAGTAAAAAAAGGTTAATTCTAATATATTATCTAACCTAACATATGCAAAAGTTATCATTTCAACATGTAATCAAACTTTTAAAAGACTGATAAGATGCTGACTTTTTTGCATAATAAATCTTTCAAAGGCCACTATGTATTAAACATACACTTACAGCATCTCAATTCAGACTAGCCACATTTCAAACGCTCAACAGCCACATGTAGCTCGTTGTTACCCTACCGGACAGGACAAATTTAGATGGTGCTTACTAAAGAAGAATATACAATCTGGGTTATGCAGCTAAATTTTACTAATGCTTTATTAAGAAAATTCAATTATCTGTTCTACTTGGAAATCAATACATTCTCCTTTCTCTGAACTCTGTCTTTCCTTTAAACAAATCATTCCAGAGCGTATATACACAAAAGCTGCTAAGGAAAGCAAAGACTAAGAATGATGAATTAAATTGAACACTCCTTCGAATTACACATTTTCACTGTTCTTAGATAAAAGAACGTAAGTTATATGCCTTCAATAGAAACCAAATACATTTCTTAAAAGCAGACACGATGGAAATGAGGCGCCACTATTATGAATGACCCTCAAGTCTTAGTAGATACTTTGAAATTAGACCAGAATATAATTAAAACAAAAAAATCAGACTCTATACACCTAAAACCACTCTTTGACCTTTCTTTTTTTTTTTTTTTTTTTTTTTTTTTTTTGAGACAGGGTTGCACTGTGTCACCCAGGCAGTGGAGTGATATCGGCTCACTGCAACCTCCGCCTCCCGGGCTCAAGTGATCCTACTGACTCAGCCTCCGGAGTAGCTGGGACTACAGGTGCGCGTCACCGCGCCGTTTATTTTATTGTAGAAACGGGGTTTCGCCATATTCCCCAGGCTGGTCTCGAATCCCAGAGCTCCAAAGACCCAACAGCCTCGGCCTCCCAAAGTGCTGGGATTACAGGCGAGAGCCACCAAATCCAGCCCATCTTTGACTTACAGAGTTGATCTTACCACTTATATTTAAAACATTCAAATTCAGTTAAGAGCTAATAATCAGGACGAATCTTTAGTTTCATTTAAAGTTACTTTTTTTCCAACCTAGACATGTATTTTCCATTATAATGTGTCAGTGTAGCTTTTCAGATTCATTCCTTAAAGGACAGTTCATTCTCTTGGCAAATATACTTAAAATGTTAACAATTAAAAAACAAAAAACAAAAAAAAAACTTTGCTTTATCTTATCCTTGGCCCAATTCCAGACTAGAACTATGAAAAGTCAACATTATTTATATAACAAACACGAGGTTTCTTTACAGGTTAGGACTCAGTTTCAAAAGCATCAATTTCACTGATTATTTCCTAAGACAGCACCTGGCACAAGGTATTGTCTTAATAAATATTTGTTGAATGAATGAATATCAAGTAACAGGTGCTAATTATTAACACTTCTAGCATTGCAAAATGAAATGTTAAAAAGTGGACCCTTTCAATTAAAATGTTTTACTAGAGACCGTATGAAAATTGGAAGCTACATTACAGTTAAGAAAACACTATCCATCACTTGTTCTCATTGAATACAATATTTCTAAAGCACAGAGTATTATCACTCTCGTTTAATATTTAAGAAAGGTGGGGCCAAAATGGTTGAGTCATATAATTATTAAGTAGTGGAGCCAGATTTCAAGCCCACGTGCTCAAATACAACTGTGTGGGAGTGTGCGGAGGTGTAAGTTGGAATGGAATGTGCGCATATTATGAAAACTATATTCCATGTCCCCCTCTTTTTAAAAGAATTTCCAGTACAAAAGCTTCAGAAGAAAAACACACAACGGATAGTTTTCAATTCCACACACACATACACACACACACACTTTTTAACAAATTCAAACCTATTTAAAATATAACAACGATAAGCACTGTCAATCGTAACGTAAAGTGGACCAGAGAGAAACGCTACATCCTCCAATCTCTCCCTCCCGGGACACCCTGGGAATGAAAGCATCCCTTGCGGCCTGGGACAGACTCTTCCAGGCGCGGGGAAGAGGCGGCGCCCCGCCCCTGGGGCGCAGCCATCCCCAACTCCTAGGACGGCCGGGACAGCTGCTCTAGCCTACCTGACGGGCTCCCGCCACCGCTTGAACCAACCGCAGCAACTGGCCATCAGACTGAACATCCCGGGTCGCTCCTCCCGCCACTTCCCATCCGAGCCCGGAGCGGACACCGGCACCCCGCTCTTCCCCGGGGGCCTCCGCCACTCCGAGACGCCCCTAAAGTGGATAAGTCGGAAGGAAAAGCCGGGAGGGAGGTCAGGGCGGCCAGGCCGAGCACTAAGCCCTGCTAACCGCGCCGGTCCGCGACGACAGCTCTCTTAGCCAAGAAACAGCCTGGCCACAGACGCAGACACACCGCAGCCGAGTTAGCGGGACCCGGCTGAAAAAAAGCCGCGCGTCGACGTGCTGACGTTACTTCGAGGCGCGTAAGGCGTTCCCCAGGCAACGCCCATACTGCGCTCCTCCAATCATCGGTTGCGATCCTGCGGTGGAGGCCTCTGAGTGGCTGAAGAGTCCTGGCTACCCGCCCCTGCGCGAGACCAGGAAAGGTGAAAGGGGAGTACTCTAGAAGAAGGAGGCGGAGCTCGAGGTAGCTAGTTCTCGTAACTAGGCAACCGGAGCGTCCGGAGATAAGCTGGAGGATCCAGGACAAATCTCCAGAAAGGCCTATCTTTATACCTATACAAAATGTGTTGCCAATCCATGGTGTTGTTCCTTTTCTTTCTCCAGTGTCCCCAACTGAGATTCAGAGATCTCAGGTCTTGTGCATGGGTTTTCTCTTTTTCTTTCTTTTCTTTCTTTCTTTTTCTTTTTCTCTTTTTTTTTATTTTTTGTTTGTTTATTTGTTTTTGCGCAGGGATGGGAACCCTCCAGGATTCTGGCCGACTTAGGCAGCATAACTACAGGAACAACACACTGGGGCAATTCTTATAAGTTAAAGACAAGGGGGAAATTCGCTTGCTAAATTTTCTCAATAGGTCAGATAAGAATGAAGCCTTAATCTCTAAAATATTTATCACTGTTACATATGTGAAATGGAATTGTATGATATTTGTTGTAGGGGGGACTGTGATTACAAAAGAAAAATGCATTTGTTGTAGAAAATGTGAAAAATACTAAAAAGAAACAAGATGAAGAAAACGAGATCTCACAGGATCTCTCAAAGATAACCATTTGGGGCCTGCGCGGTGGCTCACTCCTGTAATCCCAGCACCTTGGGAGGCCGAAGCGGGCGGATTACGAGACCAGGCGATCCAGACCATCCTGGCTAACACGATGAAACCCCGTCTCTACTAAAAATACAAAAAAAAGAAAAAAAAGAAAGAAAAATTAGCCGGGTGTGGTGGCACGCGCCTGTAGTCCCACTACGCGGGAGGCTGAAGCAGGGGAATCCCTTGAACCCGGGAGGCGGAGGTTGCAGTAAGATGAGATCTCGCCACTGCACTCCAGCCTGGGCAACAGAGCGAGACTCCGTCTCAACAATAAATAAATAAATAAATAAATAACCATTTGATGTATGTTTGTTTCTGGATTTTTAGGTACATAAATTGCTGGCTATTTGATTTCTGCAAGATGAAGATTGTTATCTCTTGACTATTTTGTAATGGTTTATTTTTTAAAGAGGTATGTAATTTTGCATTTCTTTTATATTCTTTGGAGAGTAAGAAATGACAAGGACGTTTCTGTAGGGAAAAAAAAAATTATGCACAATATGTAGGGATCTGTGTGTCCATTTTCTACTTAAATAAATATTATCAAATCCTGATAAAAGGATAGAAGGCACTGAGAATCCCAGTGTATTCATGGGGAATATAATGATTTGAAACTAAGATAGATATAGGTTTTAAATTACTCTCTGTCCTTTACTAACTCATGTAACTTTGTTTTGTTTTGTTCTGTTTTTGAGACAGAGTCTCCCTCTGTCACCCAGGCAGGGGTGCAGTGGCAGGATCTCCATTCACTGCAACCTCTGCCTCCTGGGGTCAAGTGATCCTCCTGCCTCAGCCTCCCAAGTGGCTGGGACTACTGATGTGTGCCATCACGCCCAGCTGATTTTTGTATTTTTTGTAGAAATGGGGTTTCATCATGTTGCCCAGGCTGGTCTCAAACTCCTGGCCTCAAATGATCCACCTGCCTCAAAGTGCTGGGATTACAGGCATGAGCCATGGCACCCAGCCTCATGTAATTTTAATTCAAATTTATATACATCTCATACAGCTTGCTGTCTCCAAAATACTGTGCCTTATGGGAAACAAAGGGAGTGATACCTTTTCTTCTCATCTTAATAGTCACAGCCAACACGCATATAACAAAAAGATAGAATAACAAGAGAAAAGCACAACAAATTTATTTAATCCAAGTTTTATGTGACATGGGAGCCTTGCAAATGGAGATGCAAAGATATGGGGAAAACTACCCATTTTTACACTTGGGTTCGATGAAGAATGAAAAGCCATGTAGAACTCTTATTGATCAAAAAGGATATGCCCTAATAAGAAGAGACTATGTGAAGAAACTCAGCAAGTCCTGTCTGTTCAGATTCCTCTCGACCTAACTGTTCAGCATTCCTTCTTCCAGGGTCTGGGTTAGGACGCTTTCTAGAATGGGAATCTTAAAACGTACTATCAAACAATGCAGGTCAAAGAATTTATTTATGGGCAGGTCTTTCACAGAAAGGAAGAAGGTTAGAGTAATATTTTGGGGTTTATGGCTGGCTTTGGGGAAAGGGGGTTGTGGTTTCTGTAACTGTGCCTGGAGAAAGAGGAATTATAGTTTCTATGGCTTGCTTAGCGGGAGAATGAGGTGCAAGAGATGGGGAACAGAAAGTTGGAGACAGAAACTTTGCTTCCAAGGCCTTTATTTTGGGATAACTTTTTCTGAGCTCCAACAACCCTATCTATAACATGGAAATTAAAATAACTACTTTGCCAGGTTGCTAAGATGGTGAAATGAGAGAAATGAAGCTCAAGTGTAATTTCCGATAAATGATAGATAGCAGATTTTAAAGTTGGTGTCACCTGTCCCATAAACACTTATGGTATGTTTCCTCCTACCTCCAAATATCCATGGTGGGAGATAGGAGAGCAGGACAGGATGAGACTGCAATGCACCCTTAACTCCAAGCCAATTTAGGACTGTTTCTGATGATTCTACTTTCATGACTCGCTTTCTTAAACTAGTGTCTTGCAAACCCTAAAGTTATATTGTTTGTATTCACTCTTTGATCCATTTACTATGATTGGGCTTCTGTCCCATCTAACTACTGAAAACATATTTTTTGATATAACTTATATCTTCCTAATTACCAAATCAGCTCTCTTTTCTATTATTTAATATATACAATATAGTTAACTTTTCTAAAACTGTTTCCTGTCTTGGTCTTTCACAGTTATGCAGTGCACTGCCCTACCCTGGTTCTCTTCTTCATTTTTTAAATTTAGTATGGACCGCTTCATGAATTTGCATGTCGTCCTTGCGCAGGGGCCATGCTAATCTTCTCTGCATTGTTCCAATTGTAGTACATGTGCTGCCGAAGTGAGCACTACCCCTGGTTCTCTTCTGAGCTCCCTGGCCATTCCTCCTCTGGCTTTCTGTATGTAACCTCTAAGACAGGACCTTTTCCCTCTGCTTTTCTTTTTCTTTTTTTTTTTTTTTTTTTTTTGGGGACGGAGTCTCGCTCTGTCGCCCAGGCTGGAGTGCAGTGGCCGGATCTCATCTCACTGCAAGTTCCGCCTCCCGGGTTCATGCCATTCTCCTGCCTCAGCCTCCCGAGTAGCTGGGACTACAGGCGCCCGCCACCTCGCCCGGCTAGTTTTTTTGTAGTTTTAGTAGAGACGGGGTTTCACCGTGTTAGCCAGGATGGTCTCGATCTTCTGACCTCGTGATCCGCCCGTCTCGGCCTCCCAAAGTGCTGGGATTACAGGCTTGAGCCACCGCGCCTGGCCTGCTTTTCTTTTTTAAAACATGTTCTCTTGTGGAAATTGATTATTACTTCTGTGACTGAAGGGTCTTGCGATGTGTATGTTTCTTGAGCATTTTTGGAACCATACTCAGTACTGTTTTTTACAAATATATACTCAACACCAGTTTTACAGTAAATTCTCATTTATCTTCATCCAGAGTTTCTTAGAAACTACCATTTTAAACAAAATAACATATAATAAAACCAATTTTACCATAGACAAATTGATATAAACCAGAATTAAGTTCCTATGGTACATTTCTGGTCACAAAAACATCACCAAACTTCAAAATAAAGATGAAAACCCTAGTAATAGTAAACGTTGAAATAAATGTGAGCTATACATACATTTAAGAAAGATTAATGACAACAAGTAAGATAATTATTTGTCCACTTATTCCAGTTCAGGGACATAGGTGGCATCTCAGGGTAAAAGGTGAGGCTAGCCCTCAACAGGACACCATTCTATCACAGGGTGCTCTCATACACGCCCACACTCAGACTGGGACAGGTTATACACACCAATTCACCTAACATGCACATCTTTCGGATGTGGGAGGAAGCTGGAGTACCTGGAGAAAACCCATGCAGATGTGGGGAGAACATGCAAACTCCATACACACAGTCGCCTGGGCCAGTAATTCATTTTATTTTTCTCAGCCATGTCATAATGAAACAATACTATTAAAGCACCTGCTCTACTTCTTGCCTTCCCCAGTTCTGCTAGTGATAACATTACCGAGCATTCCTAGTGCCAACATGCAGTCCCTTAGCAAAGCTGACTCTTAGTTTTTGAATATCTTAAGTGGTTTTGTAGCCATAAGTGCTGCTCACCATGTCTAGTTCTCTTTCCTTACAGGCACATGAAATAACAGTTATTCCCACCCTCTTCAAGTCAGGCATACCTCATGCCTTGCTTTGTCTAATGAAATGTAAGTGGTATGTCACTTCTTGGTAAAACTATTTAAGAGCTGGGGCACAATTCTCAATGTTCTCTCTTTTCTTGCAATGGTAATTGTAGAAGACTATGTTGACTTTGAGAGACTGTAAAATCAAAGCAGTATGAATCGCTGAGTTAACACATGGAAGATAGTTACCTGGAAAGTCATGCAGACTTGTAGTAGACTTGCAATGAGCAAGAAATAAACACTTGTTATCTAAAACACTAATTTTCTGGCTTTTTAGTGTGTAATCTGGTTTATTCTGAATGATGAAAAGAGTTATGCTGCTGTGATTCTAGTTAACATTGTCATTTCAGGATAATTGTTGACATTTTGGCATAAATATTCCCAGGCACACACTGTTGAATTAAACTGAATGAAATGTTTACGTACCAGTCACTGTTCTAAGCACTAATAATATAGTTGTGAACAAAACCTTTAAAAATTCCTGCCCTAATGAATCTTACATTCTACTGGTGAAGACAGATGAAGTGGATAATAAATAT